CCCCCCCCCCTTTTTTTTTTTTGCAACACACCCTATATTTTATAAATAGGCCTAGTAAGCTTATTCAACGCCCAGAAACAAAATATGCAAGGAATGTTGAAAATTAAGATATCACTGTTCAGCTTCACCTGGAAATATTTGGGTGTTATAATTTCTGAATATTTACAAGCTATTAGTCAAACCTCTACCCTACTTTCCCACCTGAGCCCATCTTACTGATCCACATTCCCATCCAATCCTTCCCATCTAACTTTACATCTGAACATCTTATGTGCGTTTTGTCCTAGGCTGAATTTAAAGTCCTCATTAAGCATTAAAGTTAAAATAAAACTAAATGTGAAATGAAAACTACACAACTAAAAGACATGCCGCATTTATTGGCGTATAACGCGCACTTTTACTCCCTGAAAATAGGGGGCAAATGATGTGTGCGTGTTATACGCCGGTATAATGTTTAGTTTTTTTTCCCCCTGAAATTTCCTTCTTAAAATGAAGTGCGTGTTATACGCGGAGGTGTGTTATACGCCAATAAATACGGTAATTATAATCAAAATTTTAAGAGGCAGAGGCATCTTACTAAAGAATGTAATGGAAATGTATCTTAGAAATATGTAGATAAAATAGTTAAGCTCTTATCCATCTAAATATTCAGTATACTTAAATTATGATCAACAAGCATGTTTTAAATGTCAAATATTTGTTGTAAATGTATTTTAAAACCTTAAAGACAAATAAGACAAAAATCTAACAACGTATCTGGGCAACAAATTTAGCAGAATATAGAAGAGGAGTGCTAAGGGACGTCACTCGAAAAAAAAGTTTAATTGTATTCGAAGATCTTGAAATGTAAAACGATGATTATCAGTAAATCGGTTACTAGATCTTTTAACTGGTGTTTACCTATCAGTAAAATTTTTAAAAATATTCAAAATGATTTTTTAAAAACTAATAATATGCTACTTTTTACATCATTCAATATCTGCAATCGCGACTTGTTACTGAAATAATAGTATGTCTAGACGTCAAGGTATCGTCAGTGACAGTATTGATTTATTCATTTGTTTGACCTTAAAGTTAGAGCCTTAAAAGTTTGTGGACTTTGTTCATAGGCAAAGATAGCACACGATATACAAAAATGGAAGAGTACACACAATTTAACTAGTTTTTAGGTAGTAGGCCTCATAAGTAAGGCAAGCATACTTATATGCGGCTAACTTTGTAGAGAGATGAAGCTTTTGATCGCCATGGAAGCTGCGAGTAGACGCTTGCATCATTTGCAAGGAATATTATTAGGATCACAAGAAGTCAGATTTTCTAATAATTTGCAAATTCGTTTGTTGTCGGAATCAGCTGGTAAGAAAGTTAGTAAGAAAAATAAGATTAAGATAATTTTAGGTTGTCAATAATATAATTAATTTACCACTGTAACTAAGTATTTGTGGATTTTTTCTGTCATTTTTCCTGGTTGTAATCAGTGCAGTTTTTAAGGCTAAAAATAATAAATAATAATAATATTTAGAACAAAATTTAAAAAAAAATGATTCATTTAAATTTAAGTTTTAACACACAAGATGGGGTCTGGATTATATCTGATATCTAGTTGTACTTTGGACTCTAGAACCCCTTTGAATTTTCTGGAATTTTTTTTCTGGATTCCAAGCTGTGTGGGGTGTTCGATTCAAAGATGGGAAGCGTTATACGCAGTCGGCTGCGCATAACCCTGAGAATTATACGCAGTCGACTTCGCATAACCCTGAGGGTTATTCACAGCCGACTGCGTATAACTCTCAGGGTTATGCGCAGTCGGCTAGGAATTTAGCCAAATAAGGTTATCAATCGCTTGTTTGGCAATTTAAAAAAAAGTATTATGCGTAATGAGCATGACGGGTTGTTTTGAGCTAGAACTTTTAATGTGTTTAACGTAAAATTTTAATTGAATTAATTTTAATTAATAATGAAATTGAATGATAGTAATAGTATTAGTATTAGTATTAGTGCTATTATTAGTATTATTGCTTGTATCTTATTTATATATTATAATTATAAGTATAAGTCAAAGTCTACATTTCTTAGAGTCTGAGCCTAACGCTGTCTAAGTCTAGTTATGTATTTTGTTTGATTGATTAGGTTTTTATACGTTGCTATGACCATGTGGTTGGTTTTACTGACTAATTCAGGAAATACATTCTATTTATTTTTTAAAAAATTATATCATTTATGATTTTTTTTTTTATGACCTAAATGTAACAGTTTTCAGCTTCCATGCAAAACTATAACTGTGTGAAAGTATTACTTACAGTGCTCCCTCTACAGAACCCCCTGCCCCTACAGCGATTTTTTACTGACTCTCAACCCATGATTATATTTATTACTGTACCAGAGAAACATGATTTAATCTGCCACAAAATTAGTTAACAACACAAAATATATGTTAACAACACAAACATATTTTTGATAATTATAAGAATAACATTATTAACATTATATTGGTCAAGTTAATAATTCTTCTCATGTTTTAACATTTTTTAGCCAAACAAAAGTAAAACAATAAGCCTAGTTGTTTTTGCTTCATTCTCGAGAACAAACATAGTAACTGACACGTATTAATGGCTTGCCGTTGGCTGGAATTGAACTCATGACCACCAACTTGAGGTTTGGTCAGTTTGTACCATTTGACCACCCAGTCAACCCGATAACGAGGCACCCTTATTGATTGATACTGTAACACAGGAAGAATATAGACGTCACGTGACTTGCCGACTGCGTATAACTCTCAGGGTTATACGCAGTCGGCTGCGCATAACCACTTCTTTCAAAGATACCACAGTGATTGCTCCAAATTAGTTTCGCATGAATTTTTTTTTCAAACGAACACCTCATATCTTAAAGAGAGAAGATTTCTCCATGTACCCACCAAAAAAAATATGCTTATTTTTGGAAACCCGCATGGCACAAAATAGATTTTGAATGGCCTCTTTATAAATTAATTTTAATTTCCTGGTTTTAATTTGAAAAAAATAGTTGGCTAAAATAAATACTATAAATTACATTATATTTAGCCTAAATGTTTGTATTATGGCTCCATCATTTTGACAAAATCTATAAAAATCAGTTATTCACATATTCTTTGAATGATGCACTGACAGAATTTTATCAATTTTAAAAAAATTAAATTTATTATGCATTTTGTTTTGAACAGTATAGAAGAAATACCAAGGGAAGGGCTTTTGTTAAGGAAAGAGTGAATTACTGTCTAAAATCCTTTGAAGATTACTGCTTTGGTCATTGAGACTCTAATTATTTACTAACAACTTTTTTGTATTCTAACAACTATCAGTGTCAATAATAAATCACTCTGTATGAAATAGAGATGGATACGCCAATATAATTGAGAAAGTGAAAATAACATATTTTGATGCAGCCTCTGATGGAATCTCCAAGGCGCTATAAAAAAACAAGAGACAGACTACATAAATAATGAAATTATGATCGAGACAAAGACAGTGATAATATAATGATTGATTGGCATATTCTCCATTTAGAGAAACACAGGCCAATAAGTAAGATATTGGTTCTCCTTTTGTAGACATTTTAAAGGAAAAAAAGACAGTTAAGCCTAAGCTCTAGTGTTCCTGTAAATTTCAGGTGGAAAGAAAGTTACCATAGGAGATGTAAGCAAAGTTGTGTCTGAGCCAAATCATCCTGAACTTGTACCAAGACAATATTGTGAGTATAGACAAAATTCTTTAAAAAAAAATATAAAAAAAAGAATGTGAAAAAACTTGTACACCTGTTTATTATGGAATATTGAATCAGCTTATCTAAGAAATCAAACATGTTAAAAATTTTAGGGGAAAATATTTTTTAACACAATTTCATCTACAAAATTTCAAAAAAACATGATATATAGCCTATCATTTTGTTCATTGATTTTTTTTAAAAATTTGATTATTTCATTCATCCTTAATCTTTCTAAGCAATTATATATTATTATTTAATCTCTAAATTTATAGAGAAAATGTATTTTTTTTCAGTGAAAAATCAACCTTCACAGTCTATTTTAAGACATTTAAGATGGATAATGCAAAAGGTATTACAAAAAACTTTTTTTTTAAAATTTCAGCTTAATTTATTTACTTTATAAAAAATTCTGAAGATATATAAATTAACTCTTAGTGTCCGTAGGTCAAATCCACGTTTTGACGCAGTAATTTTGTTGATCCTAGGTGACCACAGACAATATTTCATAACTTTTCTAGTAAAATTGCGATAAAAACAAATTCCTTGAACTTTTGAAAATGTTAACACCTGAAGAGGATGTGGAAATATTGATTTGGACCAAATACCGAAATATTCATATAGAATCCCAAAATTAAAGAGTCACCATGACACGCCACATAGACTGGCTCGAGTCATAATGTGACCGACAGAAAGCCAGTTAGACTGGCGCGTCAGACTTTAAGAGTTAAAGACATTTTAAAGTCCAAACATGATACTTAAACTTTGAAATTATATCCTCTTCAGGATTCTCTTGGCCAAGATGTGTTTCTTATTGGACCCCCTGGCCCATTGAGAAGACAGATTGCTATGATGTATTTGGTAAGATTTTCATTCTTATTTAATTTTTATGTTGTATTCAAAGATATTGACTATACGTCTGACTTTTATAAAATTGTAATATATATGAATAATCTTTCCAGCAACTGACTAAAAGAGAATTAGAATATGTATCTCTATCCAGAGATACAACAGAGTCTGATCTCAAGCAACGCCGAGAGATTGAAAGTGGGACTGCATCATATATTGATCAGGTTTCTAATTTGTTTGTAATGGTTTCACTTTATTTATTGTATGTTTAAGTGAATGGTGAAAAAGTGTTGCACGTAAATGTTTTATTTCTTTTATCTGAAAGTTGTTGATGTAACAAATTTACCTTGCCGTCTTTTTGTTTCTCTAGTGTGCTGTTAGGGCAGCCTTGGAAGGTCGCATCCTGGTTCTGGAAGGCATTGAGAAGGCTGAAAGAAATGTCCTGCCTGTACTCAATAACCTTTTAGAAAACAGGGAAATGCAGCTGGATGATGGCAGATTTCTCATGGCAGCTGACCGATATGATCGTCTACTGGCTGACCACACACAAGAAGAATTAGATGAACTGCGACTTGTTCGTGTTAGTAAGGACTTCAGGGTTATTGCCCTTGGCTTGCCTATTCCACGCTATCAAGGGAATCCTTTAGATCCACCTCTTCGCTCCAGATTCCAAGCTAGGGATATTCATGCCATACCTTTCAAAGTGAGTGCATGCAGTGAATTTAAATAAGTTATGGTCCCCATGTAGTCAATAATTTTCAAATTTCCACAACACTTTGGGATTGAGGGGGAAAGAAACATCTCAACAATTGGTAAATCTAATCTATAAAATCATGAAAATGTTTCAATGGCAAGGAATCACTCAATAAATATTTATACACATAGATTAGTTGATTTTGCATGTGTCTTTCAAGATTGCTAGTACTTTTACCATTTCATACTTATATTGTTTTCAATTATTTGACTAAAATGTAGCAAAGCAGTTGTCATAAGTTTTCTGTTAGGAAAAATTTTGAAAAAATTTATGAATTTTTAAACTTTTTGAAATCGTTACCTGCTCTACATAGTATTTATCTTGTTGTTTGTTTCTAGGAAAAAAATTTCCTTCTTAATGACTGCATTATTAAAAAGCTATCTCTCATTATTTAGGAGCTATTTGAAGAGCTTCAGTCTTTGGCTCCAAGAGTTGCTCCGGATAGGTAAGTTGAATTTATAATTATTTATAAACCTATTAACTTATTACATTTAAATTTTTTTCTTTCACCAAATTTTTCTTTCTTTACACAGAAATAAACTGTTGTATGTACAACTTGAAATTTTATAACCAATTTTTTTTTTTTAAATTTAAAATTTAGGTTATCTCAGCTGTTGTCATTTGCTGTAACATTGCTCCAAAGAGAGAGTTCCAGTATAGGGCTACCAGACTTTCCTTTGGACAACCTACCTCATATTGTTAAAATAATGGTACACACAATTCTTAACAATCCTAATTATTATACTGTTTGTGTCATTGATCTATTTTTTTTCCATATTCAATATTTAATTAATATACCTTCATATCTTTTACAAATGAGGTTGTCAATAGTTCCAAGTTAATAACTTTATTTGAAAACATTATTTTGATAAAGCTAGTGTCCATGAAATATTAAGTCCTGTAGTAAAAAACGTTCGTATAATTGGGATTCTGACATTTACTTCACATTCTTTTGGTCTTTCCTACATAAACATTCAGTCAATCATAAAAGATTAGCATTGTCATAAAAATTACAAATCTCTAAAATAAAACTAATGATTTTCCCACAAGTAAAATCCATTAAACATGTTTTTTTTTAAAAACACTTTCTCTCTCTTTAGCGATCTTCTTATAATGAGGCCTTTTCTGAAACATCATTCTCATTTTAACTATGAATATAAAAAAATCCAAAACATTGTATTAAATATATCTATAATTTTACATGTTAATTTCTTAAATTCAATTGGGATAAAGATCACTGCACTGCTTACCATCTTTGTATATTAATATTAAACTTTTAAAACAGGTATAATTGATATTCAATGTCCCAACATGACCTGTGATAATAATTATTATCCTGCTCATCTTTCTTGCTATGTTAAATGATGCTAAATAGTTTTGTTACACATTGTTAACTGCAATCTTATAGTAATATATTAGTTATAAAATAAAACATGATGAAAAGAAAGTGTTTGTAACTAGAGCGCGTACATTTTCAGAATGCAATGCCCAGTTGTTCAGATGCTGAGCTGCTACACAGGGTTTACCCATTTCATACTATGCTAGGAAAAGAAGGGAAAGAAGCAGTCGAGGATACCTTAAAGGTGAGTTATCTAACATGAAAAAAAAGAGACAAAAATAGTTCAAATAATGCTCACCCATATTAGCATTTCCATTAATGATGGGAGTTAATAAAATGATCTATATATTACATTATAGGTGAAGATGTGCATTGTTACATTGTAGGTGAAGATGTGCATCGTTACATTATAGGTGAAGATGTGCATTGTTACATTATAGGTGAAGATGTGCATTGTTACATTATAGGTGAAGATGTGCATTGCTAGATTATAGGGGAAGATGTGCATTGCTACATTATAGGTGAAGATGTGCATTGCTAGATTATAGGATAATATGTGCATTGCTACATTATAGGTGAAGATGTGCATTGCTAGATTATAGGAGAAGATGTGCATTGCTACATTATAGGAGTAGATGTGCATCTGCCAGCTCCATGCCTGTATGTTGTTTCCCAACTTCGCCAAACAGTCAAAGAAAATAACGTTTGACACGTGTTTATTCCATTGTAAATCCACATGATAAAAAATTGATCTCGGTATCATAATTTGAAGAATATTATATTATGTCATTGCTCGTCTATAGCTTTATGCCCAGGGTCTAAATATTCATACCTTTTTTACTTGTTCCATGGAGTGCATTAGATTTACTTAAAATCATTATAAGCTTTTTGAATGGTGCAAGGGATTGGCCTTAAGAGACATTTACAGATGTGCCTCTGTACTTCATATCTTTGTTACAAGTAACACACATGTGATTCGTAGACCATGCTAATAGCATTCAAATTTATTTTACGTGTATTGCCTTTTTAAAAATGCCAGAAGAAAATACTGAGGTTAATTAATGGTGTTAGGCCTATTACCAAAAACCACTCAAGGAATTTTATAGCTGCTGGGTTGCACCATAGATGATTATTTTTAAAATGAACAAATATTTTTTAAAATATAAACAATCTGATATTTCTCATGATTATTTTTAAAATGAACAAATATTTTTTAAAATATAAACAATCTTATATTTGTCATGAAATTTTTTTTAATTAGAAATTTGAAATTTCACCTCTCAAATCTGAAGTGCAATCCTCTGTGGCTGAACTGTCTAGAAAAGGAAACGGTGCCTCAGTCAGAGTCAAACATGGGAAATCTCTATCTAACTTTGAGGTAAAATATGTTTTTTGTTTTGTGAATGAGATTATAGCCAAGTATTGTACATACAACAGAGCCATTCTGGTTGTAGCTATCATGAAGGCTAAAACCAGACCTGTTTATCATAAAGAAAACTCTTGATTCATTTTATAGAAATCCACAAAATTTCTCCTCACAAAATGTTTCTTTCTCACATGTTTAATTTCAGGATCTCTTTTATTCATGTTTCTTAAGGTTCCTTCCGGTAGTCTGAGCACAGATCCACATTCCAGTGAGTTTGTCAAGACCCAGTACCACGAAACAGTTTTGTCTGAATTGATGCAGTCGCATTTTGCCAAAGATTTCTGTATCATTGGGCCCAAGGCAAGTATATAGTTCATTCAGTTGAAGAAGTTTAAAGTGAGTTGGCAAGAGTAGATGTTTGTTAGATACTTGATATTAATTGGTAATGTAAATGATTGCATGATGCATTCTCTCCGTAAGATAAACGTACATTATCTAATGCCTTACAGGGCTGTGGTAAAAGTGTTGTGGTCAAGCAGTTTGCTGACATGCTGGGCTATCACGTTGAGCCAATCATGCTCTATCAGGTACTTTGACTTCTTTTTAGGGCTCTCAAATTCACCAAAGGTGTGATAATAAGTTGATTTTTTTTAATCTTGAAAAAAGCATTAAGTAACTTTTTTAAAGGTTCTAGAGCATTGCTACCAAAAGTGATAGTCTGTACCATCCCTCATTTGCAGGCCCACAAAGGGGGACAAAGTAGAGACTTTCAGAAACACTGTCCCACAGAGATATTGTCCATATTAGCCTAATTATTTTAAAGATGGTTACCGTGAGCTATTTGAAGAACACATGTAGCCCTTGTTACGGGATGGTTTCATGATGAAGCTGTAGCTATTCATTATTTCCCTTCATATCTCAGGACATGACCTCACGAGATCTCCTTCAACAACGAACGACATTACCCAATGGAGATACAGTGTGGAGGCCAACGCCCCTGATCACTGCTGCTCTAGAGGGTAGCCTGGCTGTGCTAGATGGGGTCCACAGGGTTAATTCTGGCTCTTTTTCAGTGCTACACAGGTCGGTTTAATGCTGTATAAATAAATAGTGGAGTAAGATATTTTTAGGCTTGAAGAAAATACAGAACAATTTTTTTTTCAACCCTAAACATATTTTATTTATTTACTTGACACAGCTTGAACGCGGTCCCCCAATATATTAATGCTATATACATCATTGAAAACTGAATGTTTGTTTGCTCTTAATTAATCAACTCTTACAAAAATCCTTTTAATTTTGAAGTTTAAATCAAATATTTTACAGAGGTTGACATATTATGCATAAAATAAATTTGTAGTCATTCTTAATAAATGTCATAGTGCAAAAAAATCAAAGCATTGTGTAATATACATTAGTTCATTTAAATACTATTTGAATAAAATCAACCAACTTTGTATTTGGCATAAACACATGTGCATCAGCTGGTGGAAGTGCATGTCATCATGATAGAGCAATTAATTTATTTGTACATATCATCTTACCCTGCTTGACTCCTTGTTTGATATCAGACTGGTTAGTGAAAGGGAACTGCAGCTGTTTGATGGCACGAGGCTTCTCAGTAGAGACAAGTATGAAGATATTAAAGCAGAGGCTGGACTATCAGATCAAGATCTTAGCAGTCGGTCAGTGCTCTATACAAGTTACCTCAATATAATATCAGTTGTTTTTTTTTTTTACATGGTATGATATATCATCATTCAAGTCAAATGTATCAGATATAGGTAATTTAAAAATATATACAACTTTATTTTTCCTTGTTAAAGGTTTAATTTGAATTTTATCTAATAAAATGTTAACTGATTAGGTGGTGGTTTTTTTTATGTTGAAAAAATTGTTTTTGCATTTGTAAATTTTTCAAGTTGTTTCAGCTGTGTTAATAAACTACTAAATGTTTAATATTAAATCAATAATTGAACATGTCCATACGAGACATTTCAAAGATCTGTAAGTATCATGCTCAATATAAACATTTAGTAATTAACAAGGGGCTCAACTCACTTCTTTTTCAGAAACATCCTCCCCATCCACCCTTCGTTCCGCATCATCGCCTTGTCAGAACCACCGGTGGTGGGCAGCTCCAAGCAGCAGTGGCTTTCTCCAGAGATGTTGACCATGTTCTTGTACCACAGCATGAGACCACTGTCCAGGAAGGAGGAGATGGATGTTATATCAAAACTAGTAGGAATTGGGTCTTTACCCATTCTTTATAAACTTTTATGGTGTAATTTGGTGACACTTAACCTTTTTCAGCTTTTTATGTCTTAGAAATAGGTACAAATAAATAGTGCCTTGTTTTTTTCAGAGAAAGCATGCGTAGAGCAAAACTAAGTTGCCAGTTTGAGCTGTTGAGTATCTATACACAGACTGATCAACTTCCTCAGAGATTTTCATCTTTTTTTAATTTAATTTTTTAAAACTTATCTAATAAATTGTGTGTTATCTGACCTATGTCATTAACACTTGGAGTCAGTTTCAGGTCATTTACTTAAGTTAATTACTGACCTAAATGAAAAATGTGCACACACACAAAAATAAACAAAACTAATACTAAACTTCTATTGCAGGTGCCCCATGCTCCTAACTTGAATAAACTGTTTGATGTTGTACATAAGTTGAGAGGATCACCTGATGGCACGGTAAAAAGAAAAAAAGTTTTGTCTTCTCAGGGTTGAAAAAATTCTGATGTTAAAAAAAAAAAGAATAAATAAAAAAGATCAGTATTATGCTAATTACAATCACTGACAGCACATGTCCTAAATATAAAGCTCAACATTTCCTCTCTTTTTACAACTTAAGCTCCAGTCTCTTGCATCAAGTTTGTCAACCCGCCAACTGCTGAGGGTAGCAAGGAGACTTGCCAAGTTCCCCAGTGAAGATCTGCACAGTGTGATACACAAAGCATGTTTAGCCAGGTGAGTTTGCCGCTCACTGGAAGGTCTTTGATGGTCACACTTGTAGCACTTAGTGATGTGCATGTTGTCCATGCAACAGTACACAACAGTAGCAACCAGACATCGTTACGAACCCGGTTCTACCCAAAGGTTCGATGGCTTCGTTCTGTCTAGGGGTTTAAGCATATTCGCTTCACAAACCATAGATTATTTATAATTAAAATACAGTATCTTTATTAACTAAATCTCAACTGCCATTACTCCAAGATAAACACTACACAATAATAATAATAATAATAATACTTAATATCCCCTTTCACACAATACGTCACAAGATATCAAACATTTAATAACAAAATCTACCCAAATACTCTCTAAACAACATGCAATCACAATATACATTCAAGTCCTTAACAGACATAGAGGACATTTTTTTCCGCAGATATCCTGAAAATATCCTCCCCAGCTGAAATGCTTTCATCGAATCATTCTTTAGAAAAAAACATGAAAGGAAGATTTCCCAAGAAGACACTTGTACTTTCCACCTGTTTTATTTGAAATACATATCTACTGAATGAGAAATGTCAAGAGGGACCATCCAATAACTTGTACTTTCCACCTGTTTTATTTGAAATACATATTTACTGAATGAGAAATCTCAGGAGGGACCATGCAATAACTGATTGTGTTTAAAGTGACAACATCAGAGAAAGGTTAATAAGCACTTGCTAAACCCTGCCAAATGAAAGAAAGCATAATTTTAAAAAAATGTTGACTTAAGCTTGCTTATTCTAGGATTCTAGTTGGAATCCACTCAGCTTGGTATAAGACAGACATGATTCTTTTAATTATTCTCAGCACACCTGTTATGCCTTTTAACATACTATTCAAATAACTTTTGACCAGATTTCTGCCAAGACTAGCCCAGTCTGCTCTCAATCAGATATTGGAAGAATCCCAAGTCCCCCTTCAGGTCAAAGAACACCACTTGGATGATTATGCACATTCAATGTCAAGTACGTTGTTTCAATAACTCTGTAACAGTTTAACGATTCTTATATTTTTAAATTGTAAATATCACATCCATAACAATGGACATAAATACAGTTAATAAATTAAATATTTGTTGTTAGCTTTGTATTCTCTTTCCCTTCAAAATAATTATGATAAGAAGCTGTGGAGTTCTCGAATTTGTAGAAAACCTGATGACCAATCTGGAGAACCACAAGCAGACTGACGTGCTAGTAATGGACTTCGCAAAAGCATTTAAACCGTGTGAATCATAGTTTGCTTCTACACAAACTCCAGAGATACGGGATTCAAGGCACCACTAAAACATGGATCTCTAGCTTCCTCAGCCACTGACGCCAAGCAGTAGTGGTGGGCGGTACAAGCTCCTCCTTCGTCGATGTGAAGTCAGGGGTCCCCCAGGGATCAGTCCTGGGCCCCTGTTTGTTCCTAGCATACATTAATGACCTACCCGAGAAACTGACATCACAGGCAAGACTGTTCGCAGATGACACAGCAGTGTATAGGACGATCGCCAACAGATCTGACCAGGACCAGCTACAACAGGATCTCAATCTGTTAGCTGAGTGGGAGATGAGCTGGGACATGGAATTTCACCCTGCCAAGTGCCAGACACTATCAGTCTCTAGAAGTTGTACTCCTCTACACTACCAATACGAACTGCACGGCCATATACTTGAGCAAGTTTCCTCCGTAAAGTACCTGGGTGTTACCATTCAAAGAGAGGTCCGCTGGGACGAGCATATTAACAATGTATGTAACCAAGCAAACAAGACCCTAGGGTTCTTAAGGCGAAATCTAAAGATTGGCAACTCCTGTGTGAAAGAAAGAGCTTATAAAGCCTTTATCCGTCCGATTTTAGATTATGCATCTTCAGTCTGGGACCCATTTACCCAGAAGAGCATCGACATGTTGGAGGCGGTCCAGCGACGAGCACCACGCTTTGTCCTAAACCGCTACAGGAATACCTCTAGTGTTGGCAGCATGCTAGAAACACTACGCTGGTCACCATTGGAGAAACGACGACGACAATCCAGGCTCTCCATGATGTACAAGATAAATAATGGGCTGGTCCACTGTTCCAGTATTAAACAGAAACTCGTCCCTCTCCCCCATAGACAGCGACGATGGAGAAACGACGACGACAATCCAGGCTCTCCATGATGTACAAGATAAATAATGGGCTGGTCCACTGTTCCAGTATTAAACAGAAACTCGTCCCTCTCCCCCATAGACAGCGACGAGGCCATGACAGGCAATTCAGGCTCATACCAGCAAGAAGCCAGTATAGGAGCTGCTCATTCCTGCCCAAGACAATCAGGGACTGGAAAATCTTTCAAAAGGAACGGTTGAGGCGACAACACTAGACACATTTGTGTCTATTGCCTCAAGCCTTCAAACCCCTAGTGCATGATTTCCTCATCAACACCAGTAACAGAAACTTTGCAAATCCCATCTACATGCATAGGAGCCAAAATGATCAATAAATTGATCGTGGGCCCTTAAGATATAGAAGAAGAAGAAGTTCTTAAATGCCGAGAAAGAGTTACATAAAATACTATAAACTGTGTTAACTGACGTTTTATTGTTTTCTCAACTGTCAGGTGAAGTGAAAGATGGTAAGGTAAGGATAGGGGAAACAACTGTTCCTGTGTACAATCCTCAAAATAAAACCAAAGTGCCTGACATTCTGTTCTATGAGAATCCACAGGTTAGTGTTTATGAATATCATTGAATTCCTTCAGTGTATGTCTTAATGTTCCTATAAATTTGAGCTTGACCTCTTGATGTTTATTTCAACATCAATCATCTCACATTTTTTTTTAAAGATTAAATAATCAATGTTACAATGAGCTTTTTTACAAGAAACATAATATTAATTTTATTATTATGATATTTAATAATATTACACTACAGATAGTTCAGATGAAGTAAACTAAATAACAAGGAGTGAAGAGCAATTTTTTAGCTTGTGCTCAGAACATGGGTATAGCTTATAAATTTGTTCTCAGAACATGGGTATAGCTTATAAATTTGTTCTCAGAACATGGGTATAGCTTATAAATTTGTTCTCAGAACATGGGTATAGCTTATAAATTTGTTCTCAGAACATGGGTATAGCTTATAAATTTGTTCTCAGAACATGGGTATAGCTTATAAATTTGTTCTCAGAACATGGGTATAGCTTATAAATTTGTTCTCAGAACATGGGTATAGCTTATAAATTTGTTCTCAGAACATGGGTATAGCTTATAAATTTGTTCTCAGAACATGGGTATAGCTTATAAATTTGTTCTCAGAACATGGGTATAGCTTATAAATTTGTTCTCAGAACATGGGTATAGCTTATAAATTTGTTCTCAGAACATGGGTATAGCTTATAAATTTGTTCTCAGAACATGGGTATAGCTTATAAATTTGTTCTCAGAACATGGGTATAGCTTATAAATTTGTTCTCAGAACACGGATATAGCTTATACACTTCTCTAAATTGTAATTTAAAATGTTTGATAAAAGTATTATTTTCAATGTTCCAACATTCATTTTAATATGTTTACCCAGGTCATTAACTAAGTACTAAATAAAGCTTCTCAATAAATGTTCCTAATGAAAGTTATAACTTTTCCTCCTGCAGCATCTTGCAGTGATGGAAGACATGCTTAAAGATTTCACCCTTGGAGAGCACTTGCTGCTTGTAGGCAATCAAGGTGTAGGAAAGAACAAAATAGTGGACAGGTTCTTACAGTTGCTCAACAGACCAAGAGAATATATCCAGCTGCACCGGTAAGTACTGACATACCCATTAACAAACTTCATTAACACCATTGGTGCCTATTGTGGTCAAGTGATCTTTTTTAGGTCAGCCAACATCTGTTGTTTAGATCATTTTTTTTAACGCAATGAAATCTAAGCTTAAAAAATGTTTATAAATTACAAAAACCTGTTTTTCATTTGCTTAGGCTTAAACCTTTAATTTAATATTATGGATGAGAATTTAATAGTTTTTACAAATATTAGTATTGTCAGTGTTCCATAGATTATTGTTTTTTGATTTATCATTAATTGATTTCCTTAACAATATATTATATATTGAGCCGCTAACTTTCTTTTAGAGAATTAAGTATTGAAAATTAAATAGCATGCCTATTTTAAATCGGTCTTTATTTAGAGACACAACAGTACAGACGTTGACTCTACAACCCACAGTTAGAGATGGAGTGATACAGTACGAGGACTCGCCTCTTGTAAGCAATTTTTCCTGTGTTTAAAATATTTATATTACGTTATCATTAAATTTGATCTGTACACTGGCTGAAGCCATATTAGTATTCTAAGTCCATTAATTTGTTAAAAACATTGTTCTATAAAGCTTCAAACCCCTAGTGCATGATTCCCTCACAAAGTGGCACTGGAAATCAGTGAAATTTCCTCATCAACACCAGGAACAGAAACATTGCAAATCCCATCTACATGCATAGGAGCCAAAATGATCAATAAATTGATCGTGGGCCCTTAAGATATAGAAGTAGAAGCTGATTAATCATCTGCAAATCTGCCTTTGATTTGGTGAATATTAAAATTTTACCTGTTTATTTTGACAGGTAATAGCAGTAAAACTAGGTCACGTTCTGGTTGTGGACGAAGCCGACAAAGCCCCAACCAATGTCACCTGTGTGCTGAAGACTCTGGTGGAATCTGGAGAAATGCACCTTGCAGATGGACGGCGTATAGTTGCAGGTGAACTTTCCTTTCAGTGATGAACAAAAGTTCAACCTTCCTTTGAGTTTAAGCATTAAGTCAAATATGACTTTGTATTTTCCAATAACTATCAAGTGGTTGATTAAAAATCTGAATCAAAGCAACTATAATAAAATCATGCAAATGTTAATGTACTTTTCTTTTTAAAACAAACCTGGTTTATTTGTAACACTTGTTTGAATAACTGTGTGTGTAATGGAGCTGATTCAATGTAACAAAGTTACAACTTTTTCCTATCACACTACCAGCAAATTCAGGTCTACCACCGGGCCCTAGCATCATTGTTGCACATCCTGACTTCCGTATGATTGTATTAGCAAACAGGCCAGGATTTCCATTTTTGGGCAACGACTTTTTTGGTGCCATGGGTATGTATTTAATATCTATGTTTTTTTTTGTATGAGTTGCAGCCCTGTTCGTATGGAATAGGTCTATCACCAAGGTTTGAAGTTTCTATTTAATGTTTAATAAAAAAAGTTTGTAGCTATTGTTTTAGTCAGGAAATAGAAAGGGCATAGTGAAACTGTTTGAGTAAGTGGCATGCAAGTAAGTCTATTTGAACTCCCTCTGACTAGGTGACATCTTCAGCTGTCACGCCATCGACAACCCTGACATGGAGTCTGAAATGGCGATGCTGCGTCAATATGGACCCGAGGTCCCGGATGTCACACTGAAGAGACTTGTGTCAGCTTTTGCTGACCTCAGGGAAATGGCTGACCAAGGACTTATAAATTACCCATACTCGACCAGGGAGGTTGTCAATATGGTCAGACACTTACAGGTACATTTCAAGAGTGTGTAGCAATTATAGAATTAAAAATGCATTAATTTTATGTAACTTTGCATCATTTAGAATTTTTTTTTCACAACCCATCTATGCTTTTCCTTTGGTTTGAAAATTCAGTTGTGAGAGTTCAAGGTTGAGAGGATTAAGATTTTTGACCTGATAATGACCACTAATGACATGGATATTTAAACATATTCTTTCTTTGTCATTTCCAGAAATTCCCCAATGAAGGGCTGACAAATGTTGTTAGAAATGTCTTTGACTTTGACTCATACAATAAGGAGCTGCAAGACACCATTGTAGAGACCATGCAGAAACATGGAATCCCTGTCGGGGCCTCACAAGCTTCAGTTTCATTGGCTAAAGAGTAAGCAAGAGTTGTCTCACTTTGCTTGTTGGACCCCTTTACTGATAAGTAAAATCTGCAGTTGAAATCAGCAGCAATGATAAAAACAATTACTTTTGGTTGAATGTAAGGAATAAAATATAAATTAATATTTTTAAAATAGGGGAGGAGAGAGGAACACAAATAGCTCATTAATGAACATGAATTGACTTTAATCATGTTTGGGGCTCATGGAGACATATTTATCATTACTTTAATTAGGCTGTTAGTTGTAAGACTAAGGAAGCTTTATGATGTTGATTTATTTTTAGGTTCAGCAGACAGAAGTTGTATTTATTTATATGATAACTTTTGCACCACTGTGATAACTTAATTTGATGCAAACAATTCCCTGAGATTGAATGATATCTTTTATATCTTAAAATTTTTAATTATATAATTTTTGTGTTGAACAAGTCAAAATGGGGTTCTACAAGTAAATTGACAACTTTTGCTGTACTTTTACCTGATATGGCCACTGAGATGTATTTGCATTACACCGTCTTATGAGTCTTGGGGAATTTTTTGCCATCAAATAAAATTTTGTTATGTATCAAGTTTATTTTTGTGTTATTTTCTTTCATCACATCAAGTAAGAATGTGTTTTTTTGGAACATTTTTTTTATAATAAAGCACAAATGCATTACATTTTTAAAATTAAAATTCTATTCTTTAGTTTACAAGTATCAAATAAAAATAATATTGAACAATACAAAAAAAAAGGGGGCAATAATTGTGAAACAACTTATTTAAACTCAAAGAAACGGGGAGGTTAAACCTTATCTTTACACTGCATCAGCTTTTTTAAAAATTAATTTTGAATGTTGAGCTGGGCTCATGGGAGTCAAAGAGTTAAAGAAATCAATTTTAATTAAAACATATCTTTCTATTTTGAAATCAACTTAGCTTGAATGCGCTACGTAAAACAGATTGAATGAACATAAATCTCAAAAAAACAAAATTAAAAAATTATCAATTACATTTCAAATATCAGTTTTGATATTATGGCAACAGACTATGGTGATGGCTGAACAACAGTGTAGCATTAGCAAGGTATAAAGCAATGTAGCAATTTTTCATCTATCAACACAAAATAACATTTCAAATCTGACTCATGTGCAAACTGGCACCTTCCTCAACTGCCACTGGATCATGGTGAACTCTCATCACATTAGGAAATATAGTCCTCAGAATACAAATAATTTTTAGTGTGAAATAAATAAGGAATGTGTGGATGTATGATTGTATCACAACCTCATCGATGAAAGATCTGCAGGCGCAAGGCTTGTTTGATTCCTTCACTCCATCTTCTTGCTCTTCTTTCACTCTGCCTTCCATTAAATTAGATTTCCTATGCCCAAGTTGGAGCTTATAGGCCAATGGGAGATAACCAGGCAAGGAGATATGAGGAAGAAAACAGCACTGATGAGTCTGCCTGTAACCACAAACAGGATTCAGCTCAAGGTAAGTTTAAGATAAGGAGGGGATCTGGTAGCATGTGAGATAAGGTGGTCATCTGGTAGCCTGTGAGATAAGGTGGTCATCTGGTAGCATGTGAGATAAGAGGGTCATTTGGTAGCCTGTGAGATAAGGGGGTCATCTAGTAGCATGTGACGTAAGGTGGTCATCTGGTAGCATGTGAGATAAGGTGGTCATCTGGTAGCTTGTGAGTTAAGGGGTCATCTGGTAGCATGTGAGATAAAGGGGTCATTTGGTAGCATGTGAGACAAGGGGGTCATCTGGTAGCATGTGAGTTTAGGGGTCATCTGGTAGCATGTTAGATAAGGGGGTCATTTGGTAACATGTGAGACAAGAGGGTCATTAAGGGGGCCATTTAATGTTTTGCTTCCATTAATTTGTTTCCAACTATTTGTTCTTGTAATCATTTCTTTTCTGTACTCAGTATTTTGTTTCTGAACATTCATTAAATTGCAAGGGAATGATAACAAAATACATTCTGTAACTTCTGAACATGATTTATAAAAGATAATTTCTGGAGTTTAAACCCACTTTAAAAAATACTGGTTATTGTATCCGTTTTGAGATGTTGCAAAACTTGTTCGCCTATTAACTTTAAAATCTTGATGAAATCATTGGAGAACTTTCTGTTGTCTCCTCAGGGTCCTGTTCCCCTTTTTGTCCAGAGTAAGACCTTGGATAGAACTGAATCAAGGTCAAACAAGTTTACAGAAGAAGAAGCCCACTCCATCATTCCATTGGATGAGGCCAACATAGTGTGTGACGTAGCTGTCAGCAGAGGTATGTGTGATGTAGCTGTCAGTAGAGGTATGTGTGATGTAGCTGTCAGCAGTTATGTGTGAAGTAGCTGTCAGTAGAGGTATGTGTGACGTAGCTGTCAGTAGAGGTATGTGTGATGTAGCTGTCAGTAGAGGTATGTGTGATGTAGCTGTCAGTAGAGGTATGTGTGACATAGCTGTCAGTAGAGGTATGTGTGATGTAGCAGTCACTTAGATATGTGTGATGTAGCTGTCATTAGGGGTATATGTGATCTAGCCGTCAGAGGTCTGTGTGATGTAGCTGTCATTAAGGGTATATGTGATCTAGCTGTCAGTAGAGGTATGTGTGACGTAGCTGTCAGTAGAGGTATGTGTGATGTAGCTGTCACTTTAGATATGTGTGATCTAGCTGTCAGTAGAGGTATATGTGATATCATTTGAAACTAAAAATCAGCTACTATTTATCTTATTTTTCAACTCTTAAAAAGTATCTCCTGTGAATATAAATGTCACAAAACATCTGGATCTGATAAAAGATTTCTTTGAATGAAACTATTGAAAAACTCATCAGGAAATTTTCATATTGTACATCAGGAAATTTTCATATTGTAAATACTATGCAGTGATTATAAGTTAACTTTAATTTGACGATGGAAACCCCCCCCCCTATTGTGTGTCAATTAAAACGAAATATTTTATATCAAAGAATTGTATGTTATTGGTGTTATCAAGATTTTGTACTTAATTATAGTTGGAACCAGGAGCCCAGGAAAAAATAAACACGATGTCATATATGTGTCCACATGTCATCCCATTGGCCTTTATACGCTGACTTCATCATCTCATACATCAAACTTCATTGACATGTACGATGTCTTCCCTTCAACAATGGGATCCTACAGACCACAGGTATGCCATCGAAATGTTGATCTGAAAGAACGGTGCTGTGAGTATGACCCGTTTCCTATAGGAGGGACTGTTCAATGCTTGAAAACTCCAGTTTAAACAATTTAGCTGAGAAATTTAGATGCTAAAAAGACTTTAATCCCGGCATGAGTATTTTCCCTATCAGTAAGATATAATGTACGGGGCCAATGATCTTGGGTGATCTTTCCATAGGTGCTTTTTCACAGGTCCTCCTGTTTTTAACTCTTTAGGCAGTCGTGCAGAGTGAACAAGCTAGAGGTGGAATGAGGTGCGGAGTGAGCAATCCATGGATGAGCGATGCGTACGTGGGTGGATAAGCAGCAGTTAATAGATTTGCACATCTGTCCTTCATGAACCGCGATGTGAAATATATCATTTGCTTTTGAATAAATCATTATCTGCTTTGCCCCGTACTTTCTTCAGGTGAGGATTCAGCCCCTTGGTTCACCCCTGGATGACACAGTCATTCTACATGAACAAGTGGTGAGTCAAGGAGTTTTTGGTTTCACTCTTGGGGTTTGATGGGGGAAAAGGGCTTTTCCGGTCCACACTTTTGTTGTTGGTTGTTGTTGTTTTGTGGTCTTCTTTCAGCTTTTCCGTGTCTTATGGTTCATAGTTCATGTTTGAGAACTGCCTTGGAATCTTATAGCTGAACAAGAGGAGCCATGTTTCTATACTTTATCTGAGCTAAATTATGATTTTTTAAAGAAACTTGACCAATCTCTGTATCCCATTTTGTCAAAAACACTTGGTCAGTGCTTGTCGGACCCTAGTTGGCTCTAAACATGGAATGATGCACAAAAACCTAGGGGGATGGAATCACAACACTTTGGTCTAGCTTTTTCTTTTCTTTCATTACCGGACTGAAATTTGTGTCGACTGTCTCAGTAATATATTTTATCACTGATTCCTTGACAGACCAACGTTGTAATTTCTGTCAATGTGGAGAGCAGCCAGATAACTCGCCTGTTATGTAATGGCTTGCCAGAAGTGCCGCCTGCCAAAAGACTATTCCCCAGCATAACTACAAAGACAGAAGTAAGTTGATGCCATTTTTGAGCTTGCGCTGAGTTCTATGTTGTTTGCTTTAACAAGACAGATTTGTGTGTGACAGTGGCATCTTTTAGATTATTGTATGTACTGTACAGGTCAATTCATCTAGAAATCAATAGTTACAAATCACCGTTTGAGATTGTTTCATTGAAAGTGGTCTCCTATGTTCCTCCCCAGAATCAGTTCAAATTGTGCGTTAGTGAAGAACTTGACCCCAGAGGGACAACAGTGTTTTATCAACAGAATGGGTAATTTAAGCAGTCATTTTCACAGACATATGTGAGGGAAATTTTGTTACAGGAATTAATGATCTTTTCACTACTACAGTCATACTCACATATATTATTTATAAAATTTTATTGTGTTAATCGTATATGTAAATAATATATGTGTGTAAAATTATATATTCCAGGCAACAGATGGAGGTACTGAATGTTCTAGAAGGTGTCTCTCATACAGTATCTCTGCCTGTCAACATTGAATCCTGCCACTCCATTGGGGCTCAACAGTGGATAGTACAAGAAGCAGACGCTAACAAGTCAGTGTTTTAAAACTTGAGATTTACTCAAAATTAGTTATTATTAAATTAAAGCAGTCATGCAGTATTGTTGACACAGAGGCTGTCTGCCTGACATCAACACCTGCCAAGAATGGGCTAGATCTGGTCTTTTACTGATGTATTTCCTGTTATTTTAATATTACTTCCAATTTAGTTACATGGTTTGACTGGTCCAATATTATTACTTGGTTTGATTGGTCCAATGTTATTACTTGGTTTGATTGGTCCAATGTTATTACTTGATTTGATTGGTCCAATGTTATTACTTGATTTGATTGGTCCAATATTATTACTTGGTTTGATTGGTTCAATGTTACTACTTGCTTTGACTGGTCCAATATTATTACTTGCTTTGATTTGCTCAATATGTTTGTTCTTCTACTCAAGGAAATACATCTTGGAGAGAAAGAATGAAGATGAGTTTGTGATTTTGCCCATTACAGTTAAACAAGGTAAGGATGAAATATTTCAGTGAAAAAAGTAGAGTATTTTCATTGCATAAAGCTTTGATTTTCAGCCTAAATAAAATTGTACAGATCTAAACTAACCAAATGTTCCGTTATTTTCTTTGCTTGATCAAGCAGCCAGTGGCAAGGCTCTCCACACATCCACCAGCAGTTTGAGTGACTCCAATCTAAGCAAGGCTTTGTCTCAGAAGATCAGCAGCCCCAGCAGAGTTGCCGTGCTCAATGACACATTTGCTGCCGTACTTCTAGGATTTCCTGATCTAGTGAGTGTATCACTGTGTCATTTCATGAAAGAAAGCTGAACATTCAAGTCGAGTGTGTTCCTTTGCTGTATGTGATCGTACTCAACGTGAGAAGATTTAGGAAACATGGCAGGGTTACGTCTGTTACAATATATTTCATGTCGATAAAAAATAATAAAGATATTGTTTTAAAAAAAATATTAATTTTGGAATAAAATGAAAGGACGGCTGATGGAGGTTGTGTTCACTTGCTGGTAGAAACTGTGATGACTCTGTGTAAACGATCGGGCTGGTAGAAACTGTGATGACCCTGTGTAAACGATCGGGCTGGTAGAAACTGTGATGACCCTGTGTAAACGATCGGGCTGGTAGAAACTGTGATGACCCTGTGTAAACGATCGGGCTGGTAGAAACTGTGATGACCCTGTGTAAACGATCGGGCTGGTAGAAACTGTGATGACCCTGTGTAAACGATCGGGCTGGTAGAAACTGTGATGACCCTGTGTAAACGATCGGTTCCCAAATATCTCAGATAAAACAAAGCTTGTTTTTAACTTAGAGTGGTTGTCAAAATTGCAGAGCCAAGTGGACATTCATGGCGCACCACGCAAACCCATGCCAGAGACTTCAGCATCCAACCAGCCAGATCCCATCTTTGGACTCAGGGCAAAGCCACAAGAACTGAACAAGGACAAGTCCATAGCATATCTCCAAGAATCTGGTCAAACTGTTAGAGCATTACCTGTTTGGCAAGTGCCCCCTGAAGCCAAAGTAGAAGGTGAGAGGCGGGGGGGGGGGGGGGGGGGGGGGGGGCATAAAGTCTGATGTAGTTTCAGAGTTATTGTAGTGTAAATGAACTATTGGATCAGTAACATATTTATCACTGTGAGGCCAAGCTCTATTGTAGTGTAAATGAACTATTGGATCAGTAACATACTTATCACTGTGAGGCCGAGCTCTATTGTAGTGTAAATGAACTTTTGGATCAGTAACATATTTATCACTGTGAGGCCAAGCTCTATTGTACTGTAAATGAACTATTGGATCAGTAACATATTTATCACTGTGAGGCCAAGCTCTATTGTAGTGTAAATGAACTATTGGATCAGTAACATATTTATCACTGTGAGGCCAAGCTCTATTGTAGTGTAAATGAACTATTGGATCAGTAACATATTTATCACTGTGAGGCCAAGCTCTATTGTAGTGTAAATGAACTATTGGATCAGTAACATATTTATCACTGTGAGGCCAAGCTCTATTGTAGTGTAAATGAACTATTGGATCAGTAACATATTTATCACTGTGAGGCCAAGCTCTATTGTAGTGTAAATGAACTATTGGATCAGTAACATATTTATCACTGTGAGGCCAAGCTCTATTGTAGTGTAAATGAACTATTGGATCAGTAACATATTTATCACTGTGAGGCCAAGCTCTATTGTAGTGTAAATGAACTTTTGGATCAGTAACATATTTATCACTGTGAGGCCAAGCTCTATTGTAGTGTAAATGAACTATTGGATCAGTAACATATTTATCACTGTGAGGCCAAGCTCTATTGTACTGTAAATGAACTATTGGATCAGTAACATATTTATCACTGTGAGGCCAAGCTCTATTGTAGTGTAAATGAACTTTTGGATCAGTAACATATTTATCACTGTGAGGCCAAGCTCTATTATAGTGTAAATGAACTTTTGGATCAGTAACATATTTATCACTGTGAGGCCAAGCTCTATTGTAGTGTAAATGAACTATTGGATCAGTAACATATTTATCACCGTGAGGCAAAGCTCAATCTTTGCTTTGGTGTTTCCTCAGCTGGGAACAGTTCATCTCTGAGCGGTTACCTGGAGGTGTCGGACATCACCAACCACACCTTGAGATACATCCCCATGCCAGCGTACGTCAACTACTCGTTTGCTCAAATTTCCTGTTTAATCCTTCAATTAAAATCAAGACTGAAAACCACTCTCATGATAATGGGAAGGATATAATAATTAAAAAAATTTTTTTTTCATTCCTCTTTTTGCATATAAGTCTATTTCTCAAGTTGACAAGTTCATTTTTTTGGAAATATAAAATTGAGTTGTATGTAAAAAAAAATGAACATTTGAAGTACAAAAAGAATTGTTTCTACTCCAGTCCCAAGCAGGTCTCCCCCTACGCCTCCTGGCTGTTCAACAACGCAGACTGTAATGTGTTCATTGCCCCCACCTCCAACGATGGACTCGTCTCTGTTGATATCGGCGGCTGTGTCAGGCACTGGGAGACGGTGCCGGCAAGGCTGGACAACTCTCTCAGGCAGTGGAGGAACATGTTGGGATTTGATGACGGCCGACCTCTGCAGGTCAGATTTCCTTGTCACTTAGGCCAGTTAGGATGTGTAGGAATGAACATACTCTTAGTATATTGGCTGACAATAAACAATAAACATTATACACCAATACACTGTGATGTGTTTCAATGCCATCAATACACTGTGATGTGTTACAATGCCATCAATACACTGTGATGTGTTTCGATGCCATCACTACACTGTGATGTGTTACGATGCCATCACTACACTGTGATGTGTTACGATGCCATCAATACACTGTGATGTGTTTTGATGCCATCAATACACTGTGATGTGTTACGATGCCATCAATAAACTGATGTGTTACAATGTCATCAATACACTGTGATGTGTTACAATGTCATCAATACACTGTGATGTGTTACAATGCCATCAATACACTGTGAGTGTTACAATGCCATCAATTCACTGTGATGTGTTACAATGCCATCAATAGGTCATGATGTGTTACGATGTCATCAATACACTGTGATGTGTTACGATGCCATCAATAGGCCGTGACTTAAATTTGTTCCTTCAGTTAAACCAAGAACGAGAGAGCGGCAGGGACCACGAGGACATCGATGTCAAGCACGGGAAAGAAGATCCACTGAATCAACCACATGTGGGAGGCAACACTTGGGCTGGCGGTGTGGGTGAGTCTTGCTGGCGGTGTGGATGAGTCTTGCTGGCAGTGTGGGTGAGTCTTGCTGGCCGTGTGGGTGAGTCTTGCTGGGTGAGTCTTGCTGGCGGTGTGGGTGAGTCTTGCTGGCGGTGTGGGGTTGTTGGGCTAAAGCTGTGGGGTTAGTTGGGGAGTGGGGGGGGGTTGTGTCAGGCAAAGGCTGTTGGGGAGCGGTGTGGGTGGGTCGTGCTGGCGGTGTGGGTTTGGTGGGCTGAGGCTGTGGGGTTAGTTGGGGAGTGGGGGGGGGTTGTGTCAGGCAAAGGCTGTTGGGGATTCAGAATAAGGGTGTGGGGTGTGGGGGAGTCTGTTATCTTCTGCCTATCATAATAGGGGTGTGGGAGAGTCTGTTATCTTCTGTCTATCATAATAGGGGTGTGGGAGAGTCTGTTATCTTCTGCCTATCATAATAGGGGTGTGGGAGAGTCTGTTATCTTCTGCCTTTTGTACCAATAAAATTTGTTTGACAGAAAATTGTTAAGACAGAAGTTTGTTCAAAATTAAATAATGGGAAAAAAAATTATATATTTTATTTAAAAGTTTACATTTTGCCCAGGCCTCACTCGCACTTTCCCTTAAAATTAAATTTTAATATTAAACAAATCAATCTCTCTTAAACAAATTTCCATTTGAACAAATTTTTGTCTAACAATTTTTCTCACAAATTTCCAGAAACACTTCTACCTACATACTGGATGTGTTATCTTCTGCCTACATACTGGTTCCATTATCTTCTGCCTACATACTGGTTCCATTATCTTCTGCCTACATACTGGTTCCATTATCTTCTGCCTACATACTGGGTCTGTTATCTTCTGCCTAGATACTGGTTCCGTTATCTTCTGCCTACATACTGGGTCTGTTATCTTCTGCCTACATACTGGTTCCATTATCTTCTGCTTACATACTGGGTCTGTTATCTTCTGCCTACATACTGGTTCCATTATCTTCTGCCTACATACTGGGTCTGTTATCTTCTGCCTACATACTGGTTCCATTATCTTCTGCCTACATACTGGGTCTGTTATCTTCTGTCTACATTCTGGGTCTGTTATCGTCTGCCTGCATACTGGGTCTGTTATCTTCTGTCTACATTCTGGGTCTGTTATCGTCTGCCTGCATACTGGGTCTGTTATCTTCTGTCTACATTCTGGGTCTGTTATCTTCTACCTACATACTGGGTCAGTTATCTTCTGACTACATTCTGGGTCTGTTATTTTCTTCCAAGTAAGTAAGTTTAAAGAGGGTCAAATGTTATAGGTCCTCACTGAAAGTAACATTTGAATTGACCACTGTGAAGCCATTACAATATAACCATCTAATGGATTTTTCCATTTAGGTGGAAGTGGGACAGCCGGACTTGGCGGGTTTGGTGGGCCATATCGCCTAGATTCTGGCAATACAGTGTTCCAAGTGCCACAGTGGGAGAAAGATGCCGTACCAGAACATGTAAGTCTATTTTCTACTTTGACTGAAAGTGCAACATTGTGCCATGTTTCCACAACTTGCCAGATAAAACAACAAACTTGTGTATTGTTTTTATAGATCATTCTAACTGATTTTGTTTCTGAATGCTCCTCAGATTAGGCAGGCAGCCAGAGAGATGGGCCAGAAAGCTTATCAGCAAAGGTAGGTACAGCTGAACAAATACTGGTATAGCAAGTTTGTCTAACAGATGATACTGACCATTGGTGGCCATACAGTTGAACGGTAACATGTGGGGGGGGGGACCTCTAATGGTTACATCAGGTGGTCTCCTCTAATGGTTTTATATGGTGGTCTCCTCTAATGGTTACATCAGGTGGTCTCCTCTAATGGTTCCATCATGTGATCTCCTCTAATGGTTCCATCAGGTGGTCTCCTCTCATGGTTATATCATGTGGTCTCCTCTTATGTGGTCTCCTCTAATGGTTTCATCAGGTGGTATCCTCTAATGGTTACATCAGGTGTTCTCCTCTAATGGTTTCATCAGGTGGTATCCTCTAATGGTTACATCAGGTGGTCTCCTCTAATGGTTCCATCATGTGATCTCCTCTAATGGTTCCATCAGGTGGTCTCCTCTCATGGTTATATCATGTGGTCTCCTCTTATGTGGTCTCCTCTAATGGTTTCATCAGGTGGTATCCTCTAATGGTTACATCAGGTGTTCTCCTCTAATGGTTTCATCAGGTGGTATCCTCTAATGGTTACATCAGGTGGTCTCCTCTAATGGTTCCATCATGTGATCTCCTCTAATGGTTCCATCAGGTGGTCTCCTCTCATGGTTATATCATGTGGTCTCCTCTTATGTGGTCTCCTCTAATGGTTTCATCAGGTGGTATCCTCTAATGGTTACATCAGGTGTTCTCCTCTAATGGTTTCATCAGGTGGTATCCTCTAATGGTTCCATCAGGTGTTCTCCTCTAATGGTTACATCAGGTGTTCTCCTCTAATGGTTACATCAGGTGTTCTCCTCTAATGGTTCCATCAGGTGTTCTCCTCTAATGGTTACATCAGGTGTTCTCCTCTAAAGGTTACATCAGGTGTTCTCCTCTAATGGTTACATCAGGTGTTCTCCTCTAATGGTTACATCAGGTGTTCTCCTCTAATGGTTACATCAGGTGTTCTCCTCTAATGGTTACATCAGGTGTTCTCCTCTAATGGTTACATCAGGTGTTCTCCTCTAATGGTTACATCAGGTGTTCTCCTCTAATGGTTACATCAGGTGTTCTCCTCTAATGGTTACATCAGGTGTTCTCCTCTAATGGTTACATCAGGTGTTCTCCTCTAATGGTTACATCAGGTGTTCTCCTCTAATGGTTACATCAGGTGTTCTCCTCTAATGGTTACATCAGGTGTTCTCCTCTAATGGTTACATCAGGTGTTCTCCTCTAATGGTTACATCAGGTGTTCTCCTCTAATGGTTACATCAGGTGTTCTCCTCTAATGGTTACATCAGGTGTTCTCCTCTAATGGTTACATCAGGTGTTCTCCTCTAATGGTTACATCAGGTGTTCTCCTCTAATGGTTACATCAGGTGTTCTCCTCTAATGGTTACATCAGGTGTTCTCCTCTAATGGTTACATCAGGTGTTCTCCTCTAATGGTTACATCAGGTGTTCTCCTCTAATGGTTACATCAGGTGTTCTCCTCTAATGGTTACATCAGGTGTTCTCCTCTAATGGTTACATCAGGTGTTCTCCTCTAATGGTTACATCAGGTGTTCTCCTCTAATGGTTACATCAGGTGTTCTCCTCTAATGGTTACATCAGGTGTTCTCCTCTAATGGTTACATCAGGTGTTCTCCTCTAATGGTTACATCAGGTGTTCTCCTCTAATGGTTCCATCAGGTGGTCTCCTCTAATGGTTACATCAGCCCCACTATCAGGTGATCAATGAATTTGAGTATTTACAACAAACCAACCATGTGCACACATCAAGAATTTGCATACTGTGGGACTTCATCCAATTTGAGTTCCACTTGATTTATCCCCCCCCCCCCTCAACCTTCTGACTCCTCTCATTGGATTTTACTTTATTTCCTCAGTGTTATTGTAAGTTGGTTCAAAAAGAACATTTTTTTTATCACAAGTTTTTAGTCAAGTAAACAAATCACTGAGTGATGTTTAAACCTTACCCCCCTCCCCCACCCTCTTTCTTCCCATGCCTTTGATTTTTTTTTGTTAAGAGACAAGACTGACTTGTTACTTTACATCAACAACTTATGAATTAATATATATAAATATGTACACTAATATATCTAAACACTATTGCAACTATAACCACTAATATAACACTATTGCAACTATAACCACTAATATATCTAAACACTATTACAACTATAACCACTAATATATCTAAACACTATTGCAACTATAACCACTAATATATCTTAACACTATTGCAACTATAACCACTAATACATCTAAACTCTATTGCAACTATAACCACTCTTATATATCAACACTATTGCAACTATAACCACTTATATATCTAAACACTATTGCAACTATAACCACTAATACATCTAAACACTATTGCAACTATAACCACTCTTATATATCAACACTATTGCAACTATAACCACTTATATATCTAAACACTATTGCAACTATAACCACTTATATATCTAAACACTATTGCAACTATAACCAGTAATATATCTAAACACTATTGCAACTATAACCAGTGTAAGGCCTATATGTTAACAGGCTAAAAGAGATTCAGATGAGCGAGTACGATGGACAGCTTTATGAACGTTATTCAGCCGGTGTCAGGCGACAGGTTCAAAGTCTTAGAGTTATCCTGGACTCACTCCAGGTAATCATGCCAGATTGTATGATAATGCAAACATAATATATCGCCAATGTTACCATCCAACTATTGGTGTAATCAAGTTAGATTGTACTAGAATGTAAACATATATTCCATATACATCACGACATCCAACTATTGGTGTAATCAAGTCAGGTTGTATGAGAATGTAAACATATATCCCATATACATCACGACATCCAACTATTGGTGTAATCACGTCAGATTGTATGAGAATGTAAACATATATCCCATGTACATCACAACATCCAACTATTGGTGTAATCACGTCAGATTGTATGAGAATGTAAACATATATCCCATATACATCATGACATCCAACTATTGGTGTGATCAAGTCAGATTGTATTAGAATGTAAACATATATCCCATATACATCATGACATCCAACTATTGGTGTGATCAAGTCAGATTGTATGAGAATGTAAACATATATCCCATATACATCATGACATCCAACTATTGGTGTGATCAAGTCAAATTGTATGAGAATGTAAACATATATCCCATATACATCACGACATCCAACTATTGGTGTAATCAAGTCAGATTGTATGTTAGTAATGGAGGGTTTCAATAAATTTTCCATCTGGAAAAAAGGGTTTCTTGAGATGAATCTTTTCTCAGTCAATAATAAAGGAGAAATACGTCACATTGGGAAATGGTGTCGGTGAGCAGTCAAGTGCAAGCTCTTAATGCCCCCCCCCCCCTGGCACACCTCCACACAGGTCAGACGTCGGGTCTCCCGGTGCCAGACTGTGCAGTGGAACGCCAGAAATCTTCCCCCTGGCCTGGAGGACAGCTGGTCGACAGAAATGCTGCGATTAAAGCGTCCGCAGCCGACTCTCTCGGAGGGTTTGGGCGGGTTTACTTACACTCCCCCAACGCCCAGGGAGTCTTTCTGTTGGGATGAAAAGCTGGGACAAAATGGTTGCCTTGGTGCAGATTTCTCATTGCTGCGTAGCTTTACTCATCGACTTGGGTTTTCCCGCCACCCAAGCCTCATAGCCATCAACGGCAATAAGTAGTCATGTTATTGCGTTATTACTCCCGTTGCATTGGGAGTCATGCGGTCGGCGGGGGTTTGTTGGTTTTGGGTGGACTACCGACCTTACTAGTCCGCCATGCCACGAAGAGGCGAACCCCTTGTAGACGCCCCAAGTTCTCTGAGACGCTCCCGCTTTCGCAGGATGGATACGGAGAAATAAAAGCCAGTTATTTTTTCTAAAAAAAAATTTTTTTTGTATGCCTTGTTGACTTGATGACAGTGTACGTCATAAGCAATAAACTATTTGAATTACAATTTATTGCCAGGGGCCAAGATTGGTACTGACATACCATGGGCACTGACTCACCATGGTAACCATACTCTATGACACTGACATACCTTTTACTGACACATAGCACTGACACACCATGGTAACCATACTCTATGACACTGACATACCTTTTACTGACACATAGCACTGACACACCATGGGCATTGACACATCATGCTACCCATCAAGGTACTAACACACCCTTGCATTGACTCACCATGGCACTGATTCACCATGGCATTGACTCACCATGGCACTGATTCACCATGGCACTGATTCACCATGGCACTGATTCACCATGGCACTGATTCACCATGGCACAGACAAACCATAGCACTGACAAGCTATTCACTGACACTGTATGACATGGATACACCATAACTCTGATGTCACGCTGACTTTTCTATTTTGGCGGATTACCTGGTTTAGAGTGTGAGATGACTTTGATATTTCAAATAGCCAGACAGAGACATTTATATTAGAGTGTCAGATGACTTTGGTGTTTCAAATAGCCAGACATTCTTGTCCACATTCATTGAGTGTGTTGATCAAAGAGAGACAACCAAGACTAACAGAGACCGCATATCTATTCACACTCGTCCTTGTCTCCCTTTTTTGTGTGTGTTTTTTTTCCCCCTTCATCGTGTGTGCTGTTCAAAGAAATCAAACCAAATACAAAACACAAGGCTGACTCTTCAAACGGGAGGATGCAAATTTGAAATAGGTTCACCTGTAAACCAACATAGAGTATCTCCTTGTCTGCGAGAGGCTAGTTTTTGTTGGACCAAGAGCATTGGCCAGAGATAGTGGTGGCCAGGTTGGCAAACATCAAATTTGAGCGGTGCTGTTAATGTGGACACTGCCGGGGTCATCCTTGTCAACAAAATGATTGTTGCTATTTGCAGCAAGCCGGCAGATGGACTGTGACCCAGAGGTTACGGGTTTGACTCTAGCATATGAACATGCAGGACAAAAAATGTGATGCCCACATATGGACTGTTTAGGAACCCATTAAGCCACGAAAATTCAGTTCCTGAATGAAAATAGTCTGATTATTTTGACATCGCCAGTGTTTGCATATTTAACTAAGGAAAGTCTGGCTATTTTGCTTTTTGATGGGCAACAGCCCCATGCCAATTTATTACCTCTCTTCTTCATTAATTGTCTTCATATGTTTAATATTTTGGGTTCAAGTATACTGATTCATGAGCTTAACCCAAAGGACTCAAAGTCTGCACCACACAGATCCTGGAACATGACAACATCTACCAAAATCTACTCTTAGCAATTGGCGCTGATGCTGGCTTGGTCCTGTAAAGTGAATGGAACCCCCTTCCCCCTCCCTTGTACAGGAATCTTTAGCCCTAATAATTTTTTTATTAGTTGAATAAATCTTTATTCTGCTTGTATACACTTGCAGCTGATCTTATTTGTATCGTTAGTCTGAATGTTAATTAAGCTATCTTCACATCCAAAAATAATTATTACTTTTGAATCACAGTAAATGTCTCATCGAATTCCACTCTCTACATGCCACTAAAGTTAGGTTTAACACAGAAAGCTAACCATGCTTGTCCTATGTCTTTGATACAGGCCAAAGGTAAAGAGCGTCAGTGGCTCAAGCACCAGTCGTATGGGGATCTGGACGATGCCAAACTGATTGAGGGTCTGACGGGGGAGAACAGCATTTACAAGAGACGTGGGGAGAAGGAGCCAGAGGTGAGCCAAGTTATAAGATCATGGGCTCACCACACATAAAGTGTTATAATACATTTCATTAGATAGGCTCATTACACATAAGATGTTATGATACATATCATGAGATGGGCTCACTGCACGTAAGGTTTCATGATACAGTTCATAAGATGGGTTCACCACACATAAGGTGCTATGATACATATCATGAGATGGGCTCACCACACATAAGATGTTATGTTACATTTCATTAGATGGGCTCACCACATTGATATATTTCATTAGATGGGCTCACCACAAGAACACCCCAAACGTCTACGTCTGCTGGTTGACGTGTCCGGCAGCATGTATCGTTTTGACGGCCATGATTCCAGGCTGACCAGGCAGATGGAAGCTGTCTTGATGGTTATGGAGGCTTTTGAAACATATGAGGAAAAATTCAAGGTAACCTTTGTACGCAAGCACACTTGTTTCAAGCTGTAGGTTTGACCAATACTACTGTCTCTCTTGGGTTGGATGTGGCCAAGCACACTTGTTTCAAGCTGTAGGTTTGACCAATACTACTGTCTCTCTTGGGTTGGATGTGGCCAAGCACACTTGTTTCAAGCTGTAGGTTTGACCAATACTACTGTCTCTCTTGGGTTGGATGTGGCCAAGCACACTTGTTTCAAGCTGTAGGTTTGACCAATACTACTGTCTCTCTTGGGTTGGATGTGGCCAAGCACACTTGTTTCAAGCTGTAGGTTTGACCAATACTACTGTCTCTCTTGGGTTGGATGTGGCCAAGCACACTTGTTTCAAGCTGTAGGTTTGACCAATACTACTGTCTCTCTTGGGTTGGATGTGGCGAAGCACACTTGTTTCAAGCAGAAGGTTTGACCAATACTACTGTCTCTCTCTTGGGTTGGATGTGTGGATTTCCCTCTTTGTCACAATTATCTACAATAAGGTGATCATTAAAGGTTTTTGCTATTAGTCCTGAAGGTAAACATTATTATCCTTTCACCTCTTGAAGCCAATCCATTGACCACTGTAACTATCCACTGACCTTTTAAAGCCTATCAAATGAGTTTTGAAGTCTGTCCAAGGACCCCATTGAGGCCAGGCCATTGACCTCTTGAAGTCTAGCCATGGACTCCCTGAATCCCATACATTGACCCACCAGGTCTATTTATGGACCCCCCAGAAGTTAAGTTTATCCATGGATGCCCGAGGTTGATCCTTAAAACTTAATGCTATCATAATTTTTAATTTGTTTTTTAAGCTCAACAATCTCATTGTAGAGTAAAATAAAAATACACATTTCGTGCACGTTGTTTATAGATACTAGTTCACGTCTTGAGTAGCCATTCCATGTGCCTATCATTGAATTGCCCTCAGTACGACATCTATGGTCACTCTGGAGAGACATACATGGAAGAGTTTGTTAAGGTGGACAAGCCCCCAAAGGACAACAAAGAGAGACTGAACGTGCTGAAGCTGATGCTGGCCCACGCCCAGTTCTGCATCAGCGGGGACCACACGCTGGAGGCGGCCAAGCACCACATCGGGGCCATCGCCAAGGAGGAGGCGGACGAGCACTTTGTCATCTTGTTGAGCGATGCCAACTTTGACCGCTACGGGATACGTCCATCTCGTTTCGGGGAGATCCTGACCTCCAACGAGGACGTGAACGCTTTTGCTATATTTGTGGGCTCACTAGGTGACCAGGCCATCAGGTGAGAGTGACAGGACTCTAGCTTTTGACAGGACTCTAGCTTTTGACAGGACTCTAGCTTTTGACAGGACTCTAGCTTTTGACAGGACTCTGGCTTTTCACTTTTCTAAATAAAAAATTTAGCTGTATATTTTATTTCATTTTCCACATGGCCAGCGCAGGGTACGAAGTTTAAATAAAATCTCTCATCAGAGAATAATTTGTCCATAATTTTAAACTAATCTCCCATACGTTAGTGTATTATTCTCTTCAAATTTATTTACCTAAGTTCTTCTTAATGAACTTAAAATGAACATTTAACCATCAATTGAAATATTGTCAGTCATGGCAACAAAAATTATATTTCACCACAAACCTGAAATTGCTAGTCTAGAAAATATTTCAGATATTGAACTAGAGAGGGATTCTGACAAAGTCATTCTTATATTTGCCCACAGACTGAACAAGCAACTGCCCATGGGTCACTCCTATGTGTGTATGGACACCAAGAACCTACCTCAGATACTGCAGCAAATATTTGCCTCCACTCTTCTTACATCCTAGCAGCTTGTCTACAGACACTAGGGTGCTGCACATTCTCAGTCATGTGACTTGAAGTCACCGGGACAAATGTAATGTTGATTAGTGTCAAGTTGATCCATGTCCAAACATGGGTCCTGACTTGACTCATACCAGCCTTGTTTTATGTGCCATAGAAATTGTTCTGAAATTAAATGTAGCTGACGAATTGGAACTTTTGTGAGATTGTGGCTTATGATAGGGTGTTGCTTGATTGGAGTGTCCTTTGATAGCGTGTCACTTGATTGGATATCACTTGATGGATGTCACTTGATTGAATGCTACTTGGTTGTCACTTGATTGGATGTTACTTAATACAACTTGCTTGGATGTCACTTGATTGGGTGTCACTTGATTGGGTTTCTCTTTATTGGATGTCACTTGATATGGTGTCACTTGATTGGGTGTCACTTGATTGGGTGTCTCTTGATTGGGTGTCACTTGATTGGGTGTCACTCGATTGGATGTCACTTGATTGGGTGTCACTTGATTGGGTGTCACTTGATTGGGTGTCTCTTGATTGGGTTTCTCTTGATTGGGTGTCACTTGATTGGATGTCACTTGATTGGATGTCTCTTGATTGGATGTCACTTGATTGGATGTCACTTGATTGGGTGTCTCTTGATTGGATGTCACTTGATTGGGTTTCTCTTGCTTGGATGTCACTTGATTGGGTTTCTCTTGGTTGGATGTCACTTGATTGGATGTCACTTGATTGGATGTCACTTGATTGGATGTCACTTGACTGGGTTTCTCTTGATTGGATGTCACTTGATTGGATGTCACTTGATTGGATATCACTTGATTGCGTGGTACTTGATTGGGTGGCACTTGATTGGGTGTCACTTGCTTGGATGTCACTTGATTGAGTGTCTCTTGATTGAATATCACTTGATTGGGTGTCACTAGATTGGGTGTCTTTTAATTGGATGTCACTTGATTGGGTGTCACTTGATTGGGTTTCTCTTAATTGGATGTCACTTGATTGAGTGTCTCTTGATTGGATGTCACTTGATTGGGTTTCTCTTGATTGGGTGTCACTTGATTGATTGTCCCATTATTAGGTGTTACATTAAACAGTAAGATTTAAAATGGATGTAGTGGTGATGTTGAGAATAAAAAGTATAATATAATGCTAAGGTGAGAGTAGATGAAGAATTATGAAAGACATTTAATTTTTTTTACTTTCTGAGGCTTGTTATTTGTACATATTATTGAAAGCGCGAACAGATGTGATGATATTATTGAAAGTATGGACAGATGTTATTACGGCTATTGTGATAAATGCATTACCTGGTGAGTCACATCAAATCAAATGTTCTCAAATGGGATTCAGTGGAATTTTAAGTGAGTTCCTTCCATTATCCTGGCCAATATTACCTTTGTTTTGACAGAAAATCGAAGCGTTTCACTAGACTAATAAAATAGAAAACACTATAACTAGGTTGTTTTGTGACTTATGTGTTTGTATCCCGCATGTTTAGATGTTGTGGATGTGCTGGACAGGGTCTTTCAAAGAAAAGCTGCTCCCTTATGTATATATATAATACACCTGAAAAATGATGGTTTTGGTGGCCTCTGAAGATTGCGCCTGGGGAAGGTGCCCCCCCCCCCCCCCCCCCCCTTTGGGGAGCGGGCCCCTAATGTTTTTTTTTTTTTTTT